TTTGATTCCTCCAATAAAGCAATGCAGTAATGGTTTAGTAATGACGTACCGGAGGAGAGCTGAGGCCTGAAGTTACGTTCAGCTGTCACTTCAGCAAATGACTCTTTTCACATGAGCTACGACGTATAAATTTGCATTTCAGGTTCCTCTTTCAACTCCAGCCTCTGTTTACCTTTATTCTGAAGTCTTTGAAGAGATTGACTTCATCTCGTGAAGTAGCATTTTGCTGCACGTGTAGTTCCACTGCAGTTAGATTGCTTGTGCAATAAGAATTTGTTGTTTCAGGTAACTAGCAGTGGCAGAGTTTGGATCTTGGAGAAGTGGGATGGTTTTTGGTAACGTCTCTCAAGGGTGTTAGAGTTTTTACTCTTGTTTTTGGAATATCATTTGAGATGAGAAATTCGGTTCTTTTTCCAATATGGAAGCACTTCAGCAATTCAACCATGTGATTTCATTGACTTCATGATTAAAATAGTTATGAGTATTTTTAATGTACCATGAGCTAAAATTAATCTCCATTCTGCAGTTATAAATATTGGTGAAATTTCAACTCATTCAAAATCAAAGGCAAAGCTCTGTTTTCAGTGGGGCAAGGAGCTGACTGAGAGAATCTGAAAAGGTAAAAAACATCCGTCAATGATCTAGTCCCCAGTCCCTGTGCCTATGACTTCTCAGAGGGACTATTGTGATGATGGCTTCTTTTGTTGTAACATGATTTGTTTTTTGGAAAAAATCCTAACCTGCAGTCCCCATTTTCTACTTACTTAAATGTCTTCGAGTACAGACAAAGATAAGAACTGTTAGTCACATTCTGTCATTATTCCCAAAAGATAAAATTTTTATTTAAAGAAAAAAGTATAAGTTTGGACTCTGTACAAGTTTGTTCTTTCACTGTATCCAATGCTGAAAAGCGATATGTCCCAAGGAGATCAGCTATTGACCACCCTTACACATTTAGAAGTGTATCTCCCAGCTGTTTCTGAAAGGCAGAGTAGCAAACTTGTGGAAACACTTCACTGTTCTAACCGAAGTTCTTTGATCCAGAAGGAATTAACAGATTTTTTTTTTTTAATCTTCATTGAACAGTTAAAAAAGTAGAAGTAATTTGTATTCAAAACAGTGCTAGGTATACAATAATGCATAATAAGTATGAATGAGAAATAGTTGTATGCTGTAACAACTGAACATGTAAATTGGGATATCAAGGCTTGGTGCTGGCTGTGTGACCCATTCAAGACACTTAGACTCTCTCCAGATCATTGGTTTCATTTGTGGAAAAGGTAATTTTACCTAATATTTAGCCAGTGTTGTAGCATATTCTGCCACTGTGTGTTTCTAGGTTATATTTGACCCCCAGGAAAAGGCACTCTGGGACTTGTGTGCATAATGGTTACCTTGGGCAAAGTGGTAACAAATGGTGGGAAATGGTGGGACTTGGACAAGCAATACAAGGAGACTGCCAGTAATTGCCCATGAATATGCTTAAGTGCATGAATTCACCTAAGTGAAAAAGTCAGGAGAAGGCTGTGACCAAATGGTGAATTCTGCTCAGAGTCATCTTCCAGTGAAGGTGCCCTTGCGGACTTCTTCCCTGCTGATGCCACCAGAACTAAGATTCACTTTCCAGAATTATTCCCAAAGATGGGTTTGCCCAGAAAGATGTTGCCTTGTACAGTGGGGCCTGAAAAAAAGTCCTTGCAAAGAACAAACCCTGAGGTGCTCTTACCAATTTTGTGTGGCCATAGTGGAGAGGATGAAGGACAGCATGATCTCCACCTAGAGAATTTACGTAATTCCTCACACTGAGAGTAGGCAGCAGCAAGGGCCCTTTCCATGCAACTATAGGTAGTGCTTATGGCAAGCATTTAGAAGTATGCCATTGTTAATACCTGTTTGGAAGCCTCTGTGGCTGTAACTCACAATTTTAGTAAAGATTAGGTCTCTCCAGAGCTCCCAGTTTGGATGCTGTATTTAGGGTACGGGTGCTGCTATAGCCATTCTGAGCTGCCCCAGACTGTGTGTTTGGATAGTTTGGGCATTGCTTTGGAAGTACAGATACAGGAGTGTGTGTATGAACAAGCATTCAGCAGAGAAATAGAATTTGGAAAGTTTCTTTAAGTGTTGTTGCCCTTATACCTGTTCCACATTCATCCTTCATCTCCTTTTGTTCAGGGTGTGATTGAAAAGGAAGCTGGGAAGGCAGAGGCAGATTGTACTTCCTATGCTGAGAAGCACAGACAGACTCATCCTATATACCATAGACAGGTATTGTTAACAAAGTTTGAGATCATATTCACAAGCCATATGTGCCCGCTCAGCAGAAGCAGCATGTGGACAAGAAGAGCTTGTTATCTACAGTAATTGATCGATTTATCTTTTCTTTTTCAGAGGATAGAGACTGGGAAAATAGCTGATTGTGAGTTCATCTAAAATTAACAGAATTGTCTCTTCAGGCGGAGGGTCCAGAATGTGTTTTGGAAAAGGGAGAGAGAAAGACCTAAAATCTGAGAATGTGTGGATACATTTGGCTGCAAAGATGAGTATGAGAATTGTCTCTTGAGAAAGCTATGGCAGTATTTCAGGAAAAAAGAAGAGGCAAGTAAGTCTTGCTTTGAAAAATTTAAATGTTGGGCTCTTTGTTATGTTGGAATTCAGTTAAGGTAAAAGGCAGTCAAGTGCTGGAAACCATGGAGGAGGCTGTACCTACATTTCAGAAGGTCACCAACTCTTAAAGGAGAAAAATGTTGTAGGTCAAACATTACCGGTAGTATTTGAAGTGGTTTTATATGGCACTAGTTTATAATTCAGTTAGTAGCTTTGCTCTGTTCGTACTTAGTGAGCTATATTTTAATAATGAGAGGGATGGATTCCATTGCTCTTATTCATGTTCAGTTGCAGTCAGTGGAACTAATTGTTGAATAAGGTATGCTCAGCATGAGGATGGGTGATGGAATCTAGCCCAGCTGGAAATATCTTTTAAACTACTGCTGTATTAGAGAGCAGCCATCTCAACATAGGCAAATCTAGCATGTTGCTAAAAGTGCTTCAAGCCATTCTTGTGGCACACTGCAGTATTTTTACAGATGAATACAGGGCTTGTTTTAAAGTGATTCCCTCCCTCCCCCCCCCAGGTTGAATCATACTAACAGAAAGATTGGGAAAGCATCTGCATTGTAATTGTCTGTCCTGTGTTACACCACCAACAGAAAGTAGGTGGGGTTTTTTGCAGAAATGGCTACTTAACTGCAGCTGTGTATAAAAGTCAGTTTACTGAAAATGTTTCATTGTGCAGTGTTCTTATCTTAATGCAGTTTTCTGACATTTATTTTCATTGTGGTCTACTCTTCTATCTTGTGCAACTTTCTTAGTAGTAGAAAAGTACTGGTGCAGCTTTATGTACATATGCAAAATCTCTTGGAGAAGAATACTAACATGCCTATGTGGTAAATTGAGGAATACAATGTAGATGCAAAGTGCCACTTTTAACATTGAATTGAATTTATTTCCAAGCACAACAGGAGTATCACTTACAGTATTACATAAAAGCGTAAGACAATCTTTCAATGAAGCAAACCCCAATTGCATAAAAGATGTTGTATATAATGACAAAAAACCCTAGCTGCAGGCAGCTGACCTAGCCAGTTGCTCTTCTTACGTGACCTTGGTAGCCAGTGTACAGAAAGAGAGGCACTCCTGTAGGAGATGAATGGAAGGAATTTGGACACCTCTGAACTCTAACCAAGCTGGCTAAAGTAAAGGCCTTAAGTGTGGTGGTGCTAATAGCCCCCCTAACTGAACAAAATGCAAAACTAATGAGTGGCCACTCTTTATGATGATGATGACTCTAAGTGTGCTGCATTTTCACTAGGATCTTACTCCTCTGCTGAGGACCAAGATAGGAAGTACAAGAAATAGCAGTAGTACCATAGTGTTGTGGTTTAACCTGGCAGGCAGCTAAACACCACACAGCTGTTTGCTTACTCCCCCCCCAGTGGGATGGGGGAGTGAATTGGGAAAGAAAAAAAAAAAAGGTAAAACTCATGGGTTGAGATAAAGACAATTTAATAGGACAGAAAAGAAAGGGAAAATAATAATAATGATAAAAGAATATACAAAACAAGTGATGCACAATGCAATTGCTCCCCCCCCGCCAACCGATGCCCAGCCAGTTCCCAAGCAGCAGACCCCTAGCCAGCTTTTCCCCTCGTTTATATGCTGAGCATGATGTCATATGGTATGGAATATCCCTTTGGTCAGCTGGGGTCAGCTTCTCGTGCACCCCCAGCCTACTCGCTGGTGGGGTGGCGTGAGAAGCAGAAAAGGCCTTGACTTTGTGTAAGCGCTGCTCAGCAATGATGAAAACATCCCTGTATTATCAACATTATTCTCATCCTAAATCCAAAACACAGCACTAAACCAGCTACTAGGAAGAAAATTAACTCTGTCCCAGCTAAAACCAGCACACATAGTAATACTGTAATTTAGCCAACTGAAATAGGGGTCTGTACAGTAATTAAAGCAACCATCCTAGGTTAGGTCTGGACAGAGCCCTAGAGCTAGTGTCTTCAGTGACACTTGGAAAATATGCTCTAGAACCTGTAAATACCACATCTAATGAGAACCCCTCATTTATCTCTCATCTGCTTTCTGAGGATGAGAAAAAGCCAACTAGGCAAATAACTGTGGAGAAAACCAGCACATTGTCTTATTCCCACTGTTGAGGAAAGGTTTGCAACCTTCATCTTGGAGAAGCATACCACTAGAAATAGCTGGGTGATAAGTAAATGAATTAGACTACTTATTTAAATTGCTACTATGATAGAAATAAAACAAGAAAACTTTGTTTTAAAACAAGTCTTTTAAAAAAGTTCATTATGTTAGTATACTTGTTAGTAATATATCTGTTAGTAATATAAAATATCTAATAATATAAAACTAAATCTTTGGATTTTCTGCCACATAGAAGTTTCCTTGTACTAAAGTTGCATTTTGTTTTTTTTAATAGAAGTTACATACACTGTTAAAAATAATTTGCACTAACTAATCCTATTAATCATTTAAGACAGAAAAGAGACTTAAAAGCTTTTGGCTTCTAGGAATTGCACAGATAAAAGCACGACTAATGCCGACAACCTAGGTAACTAGCAACCTTGCTATGGGCTAGATTTTGAGCTGTGGCTCAACGGAGGACAAGGGGGCAGGGTGTAAAGCAGGAGGAGCGATACAGCATCATGTCTCCTGAGTTCTGGTCTCAAGGCCACCTTCTGTACAGGTCTGCCTTAGGAGCTGCCCTGTAGCTGCAACAGCCACAGCATTAAAGTCCCTCCCTGCCCTGCTTCACTTTTGCTCCTGTTCCATCATTACACTGTGGCAGTGTGGCAGTGCAGTGTATGGTTGCATATATTGGCCCTATGCCATTTCTATGCTGGGAAGATTCTCTCTGGGGTCGCTTCAGACCCTCTGCAGCTCCTGTACACTGCTGGAGAGGTGGGCAGGGGCTGCAGTGATGACTAGACTCTGGCTCTGTGCCTGTTCTGAACTCTTTCTGCAACCGGTCCATAAAGTAATCCCCAAGACTATTTCTACCATCTTGGGAACAGTCAAGCCTGCGAGCATTGGTCAGTAGATCTCCCATCAGCTTGATCTTCCGGATGTTGGGCCCGATAAATTGTTTCTTGATAGTGCTTGCGCTATGAGGGTCTGCATTTTCAATACTCAGGGCATAAAGCTCTTCAAAATATCGTATCATAGTTTTCCACTGTACCATTGCTACTTCCAGGGCTTTCATCAGACCGACTGCGTACTCACAGTTTGGTTTCTAAAAACAAAGACAGAATTGCATTTATTCAGAAGAACAGCTCATCTTACTGTATTCATTGATGGTTTCCTGCAACTTACCTGGTGCTCTAAACAAGATGTGCTAGGATTTTGCAACAACTCCTAGTTTGGAGAATCTGTTGTTTTTTGCAGAGTTGGATGGCTGTAAACATACAGAAGTGGCAGAACCCAAGCACTTTTTCAAGGAACAGAGATTTAGATAGCAGCAGCTATTCCTGAGGAACGTTCTTACACCAGGAAACCCTATCATAGAATCATAGAATGGTTTGGGTTGGAAGGGACCTTAAAGATCATCTAGTCCAACCCCCCTACCATGGGCAGGGATACCTTCCACTAGACCAGGTTGCTCAAAGCCCCATCCAGCCTGGCCTTGAACACGTCCAGGGAGGGGGCATCCACTACTTCTCTGGGCAACTTGTTCCAGTGTCTCACCACCCTCACAGTAAAGAATTTCTTCCTAATGTCTAATCTAAATCTACCCTCTTTCCCTCATCCTATCACTGCACTCCCTGATAAAGAGTCCCTCCCCATCTTTCCTGTAGGCCCCCTTTAAGTACTGGAAGCGATACAGCATCATGTCTCCTGAGTTCTGGTCTCAAGGCCACCTTCTGTACAGGTCTGCCTTAGGAGCTGCCCTGTAGCTGCAACAGCCACAGCATTAAAGTCCCTCCCTGCCCTGCTTCACTTTTGCTCCTGTTCCATCATTACACTGTGGCAGTGTGGCAGTGCAGTGTATGGTTGCATATATTGGCCCTATGCCATTTCTATGCTGGGAAGATTCTCTCTGGGGTCGCTTCAGACCCTCTGCAGCTCCTGTACACTGCTGGAGAGGTGGGCAGGGGCTGCAGTGATGACTAGACTCTGGCTCTGTGCCTGTTCTGAACTCTTTCTGCAACCGGTCCATAAAGTAATCCCCAAGACTATTTCTACCATCTTGGGAACAGTCAAGCCTGCGAGCATTGGTCAGTAGATCTCCCATCAGCTTGATCTTCCGGATGTTGGGCCCGATAAATTGTTTCTTGATAGTGCTTGCGCTATGAGGGTCTGCATTTTCAATACTCAGGGCATAAAGCTCTTCAAAATATCGTATCATAGTTTTCCACTGTACCATTGCTACTTCCAGGGCTTTCATCAGACCGACTGCGTACTCACAGTTTGGTTTCTAAAAACAAAGACAGAATTGCATTTATTCAGAAGAACAGCTCATCTTACTGTATTCATTGATGGTTTCCTGCAACTTACCTGGTGCTCTAAACAAGATGTGCTAGGATTTTGCAACAACTCCTAGTTTGGAGAATCTGTTGTTTTTTGCAGAGTTGGATGGCTGTAAACATACAGAAGTGGCAGAACCCAAGCACTTTTTCAAGGAACAGAGATTTAGATAGCAGCAGCTATTCCTGAGGAACGTTCTTACACCAGGAAACCCTATCATAGAATCATAGAATGGTTTGGGTTGGAAGGGACCTTAAAGATCATCTAGTCCAACCCCCCTACCATGGGCAGGGATACCTTCCACTAGACCAGGTTGCTCAAAGCCCCATCCAGCCTGGCCTTGAACACGTCCAGGGAGGGGGCATCCACTACTTCTCTGGGCAACTTGTTCCAGTGTCTCACCACCCTCACAGTAAAGAATTTCTTCCTAATGTCTAATCTAAATCTACCCTCTTTCCCTCATCCTATCACTGCACTCCCTGATAAAGAGTCCCTCCCCATCTTTCCTGTAGGCCCCCTTTAAGTACTAGAAGGTTGCTATAAGGTCTTCCCTGGTTCAAACTAAATGTTTAGAAAGTTTTTCAAGCTGGCCTTTTTATTTTTACTTTCTACAGCTTAACAACTGCTATGATAGGCCAAAGAAGAGCATTCTGGATTAACTATTTAGAGAATACAAATTTGGTAGAGGAGAATCAGCCCCTTGGTCTTTAACAAATGAGGTGGGTTTTTTTTCCTGATAACTTTATTCCTTTGTACCTGTGCCAGCCTGAGTCAGATCTCTAGTTCAAATTCTATATTGAGCTGTGCTCCAACAGATCAGCCACTGCCCCAAGCTGGGTATTTCTTCTACCTCCTTCCTTACCACCTTTCTTAGGTGCTGATGGCTTCTAGGCTTCTATTTAGTTTCAATGTGAAGGAGACAAGTAGGCTGTTTTAGCACAGTTTAAGGAGACTCTCAATCCACTACAGCACACTGGAAACAGCAGTCTCCAGCTGAGTGAAAGAAAAAGGGGACCACTGTTCATATTCTTTTGGGCTAGAAAGCAACCACATAGAGTTAGGACTGTATGTCTGACAGTTTCTAGGCATCACGATCAAGAACAAAACCGTGTACACTAGTATGACAGGGAAATTATATCTGGACATCTAATAGCGGATGAATGCAGACATCTGAAGTACCAACAATATAATGCAGTAAGTTAGAATAATTACTGCGGAATGCAACTGCTTGAAAGCTTGTTGTCTACTACCCACCTGGATGGTTTTAGAACAGTAATGGCCTCCTCTTTCTTGCTGATACTTCATCAAAGCCTCTGCGGCTTTTCTCTCTTCCAGAGCTTGATGCAAGAAGAACTTTGAAACATTTGGTAGAGCCACATGCGACTGATCAAAATATTCACCCTAAGCACACAAAAAACAAGTGTTAAGATTTGCTGGAGATGGGACTCACTTGCAGCAGAACATGGCTTTATCAGAACTTGGGAGACCCTTCCAATGGAAGCTGTTCTACCAGCACAATCATTTTGAAGACCTTAATCCAAATTTCTGCAATAAATGAAGTAAGCACTTACTGTCTTAAATGAAAAATCTCTATACTTCTACTAGAACTCCTTCTGTCCTTTAATACTGGACAGGTAACTGTAGTACTGATGCTCTCTCTCAGTAGCAGTCAGAGATCCTCAGAATATTTTACTTATGAGTGGTTGGGGGGCGGTGTTATTTTTTTTTTGCTGTTGTTGTGTTTTGTGTGGGGTTTTTGTTTGTTTTTTTGTTTGTTTGTTTGTTTTAAACATAGTCCCAGCACAGGGGACATAAGATTTATCCCTTCAGGTCAGCAGTCCAGTGAAAAGTTAGCTTTCAAAGGTATGAGAAAGATGAGGCAAATACCAAAAAGAGAACAAGCACAACTTTGCATCTATTTATCAGCTTCATTATGGATAATATCATTCCAAAATAAAGAATACTGCTACTGAACTATATTGTATACACCTTTAATATTGTATGTAGCTCATGCCTAGGAATACTTCAGAAATATTACTACGCTAAACCCACTGCAAGCCTTGTTCTGTTCTAGATGGGAAAGTAACAACTTTAACCACTTAACTATGCTAATAGATCTATCGTCTCTTAGAAGAATTTTATCCATGGTATTGCTGTGCCATAAAGAGAATATATTAGAGACAGGTAGCAAAGGAGAGCCACCAGGTTATATTAGTTTCAACATTGGCTCTGCACAGCTCTGATGTTGAGGAGAATGAGAGGCAGTAGCTGGGAATATGCCAAGAACTGAATTGAGGGAGCTACAGCATCTTGATCTGCTGGTTCCCTAAACATGCCTATGCAGTACAGCACAGCTTTTGTCTCTTGGACATACTCTGGATTGGAGTACTACATATCAAGCTGTTGGCTTGTAGCCTGCCTAGGAGGGGTAAGGAACAAGTATATGCATTTCAGAAGTTTTTCTGCTTCTTATTGTCTTCCCCGCTTTCATCTATTACCCTGCTTAAATATGAAATACTTGTGTTTCATCTATGTTGCTCTGTTTAGAAAAAATGCGGAAAAGTTATATACACAATACAAGTTTATGTTTTTCTCTTATATTTTTATGGCCATCTGGGATACCCCAAACCTGTGACACGCATACACACGTGTGACCATAAACCATTCAAGAGAAAGTACATACTGGAATGTTTTATTAGGAACATTCATTGTGGTATTTGCATAATCCTTTTCCTGAAGTCATTCATTCATATTTCTGTTGGCAGAAGAGTCAAGATTCAGTGTTTTATAACCAGTTCCTCAGTGCAAGTGTGCTGCATGACTTCAAGTAGAGCACAAGTTACCACACCTGCTTAACTGTTAAGGTAAATCTTTTATGTCAATCATTAACTATTTAAGATGTTCACATTTCTAGGTTTGATTTACCCACAGTCAATTTCTAATTGAGCTTTCTCCATCCCACCCAGCTACCAATCACTAGTATTATTTTAATCCACATGCTTAACAAGTAGAGGTTTTACTGCATACTTAAACTTTTATTGGACTATTAGTTGATACCAAGCTTGATCAAAGAATCTTGGGGATATATTGAATATAGTTTGTGTTGCTTCTCAGTGGATCCTTGGCATCAGAAGAGATGGCATTGATTTTTTTTTTTTTTAATGGCTTTGTTAAAATATATGTTGCCTTAATATTTGATATGTAGCCAGACACAATTTTGGCATGCATGTTACACAGTATCAGAGATATCTTTTTTAATTCATGTCCAACGTTCCTGCCTGTGGAGCAAAAAACCCTAAACTGACAGCGATGTTCACAAACTGTTATTTCACCCGTTAACCGCACACAACTATTTTACGTACAAAGTTTGAGGAAAAAAACACCCAAGAGTTATACTCCAAAGCTGTTAGCGTTCCCTGTTCCTGTCCCTCTTTCCACAGGCATAACTCTCTACGTGAATTACCCAAAATACATGAGTGCCTGATTCATCACCCGCTTGTTCTAGACCTTCGTCGTTGTTTTTCTAGCCATGTCAGCGGCCACCCCGGGGTAAGTGCAGAAGCAGCTGCGCAGATCCGGAGCCAGCCAGCGGCTCCGAGAGGAGCGCTGCCGCGCCGCAGGTTCCGAGCGCGAAGAGAGCCCCCAAATCCCGCTGGGTCAAGTAACGGGGCAGGCACCGCTCC